GTAAGACTTCATTTAAGCTATCATACTATTTCCTCCATGTACACTACACAAACACATGTAAATCAGGACAAAAATATTTTTTTAAATGAAATTAATGAATGTTGTAGTGCATGTGGGAGTTTCAGAATATAATTTGGTATTTTTCTGGTTCCGAGATGGCAACCTCCCTTGCTGAAAGGAGTATTTCCAGGAGGCAGGGCGAGGGACTTCTGGTGGCAAAGGTAAGGGGTTAGGGAGCGAGACTTCTGGTCCAAAGATGACGACCAGGGGGTGGGGCACCTGTAAAGCGGTGGGGCTACCCATGCGGCCCTCAATGGCTTGCTAAAACTTGGTAAGCAGTCCTCCACCAAAAGAATTGCCTGCCCCTGCCTTAATAGAACACATTCACAACAAGGGTATCAACCAGAGCATCAGGCATATGTTGGTGGTACTCTGAAATGATTTTTTGCTGTCCAGTAGAGTAGAGAGAGAACATATTTCACTTATGCATAAAACCACCCTCCTGTATTTGGGGATTTGACTCTGTAATATACAGCCCATATACACTGCCAGAAGAGTCAATACAGTTATTGTAGTAGAGGAAAATGTACAAGCTTCCGCATAGTATCTGCACTGTGGTTAGTGCTTATTTGCACAGAAATAAACACCAGTTGATCAGGCCTCATGGCCACAGGCAGTTCTGAAAAATCTAAATTCATGAATAGTATCTTGGGGCTAACATAATTTAAGAGCATTACCAAGCATTATCAGAGCAGCGGTTTTCCACTGCAATAAGCCATAGAGTGAGAAGCTAGAGAAAAGATCTATTTGAGTACTGAGCCTGTTTCTTTTCAAATGCACAGAATAGTCCCCCAGATATCAGATATTAAACTGATACAATATTTTGCAGTCTTAGTCAAAAGACCAAGGAGACTTAAAAACTCAGTAACACTTTAAATCAGCATTTTTACAGTATCAATACATTTTTCTGCTGCATCAAGCAGTACTATTGAAACTATATTAATATAGTTGGAATTGTAAAATGGATACTATAACACAACCTAATGTCCCCTCCCTGAAATTAAATCTAAGTGCCTTCATATGTGCAATTTAAGAAAGCCTGATTATAAAGACAAAAGAAAAAGAGATTGAGATGGGAATGGAGTTTCTGTACCACAGTGTACTGTTTCTGATAGCTTTGTAATTCATGTTGCATTGCTAAGGTGTATCAAGGGCCTGATTCTCCACTCCATTACATCAGTTTTATTCTGGTGTAATGCCACTAATTTTAATGGAGTTACATTCACATAAAACCCATGTAATGAACTGGAGAATCAGACCTTATAACTTAATAGGCTCACAAGAAAATTAGCTGGATATTCCTTAGTGGGAAAAACTGCTTATCTATTTTTAATGAAAGCTTCTCTTTCTTTATTTTTATTATGGACTTTAAAAAAATAAATAAATGTGTAATATTATAATTTACAGTACTATCCTGTGAACAGGCCAATTCCCTTTCTTTTCATCTGGAGAACTTCCAGGACCTTGAATTAATGCTCAAATTCACCCCTCATCTAAGGTTCAGCTCTAATGATACCTCAAAACAATACCATTACATAAACTCCAGATTTTCCATCATTCAACTGATTTTTGAAGTTCTCTTCCAGGGCCACTTCTTTCCAGTCTGCCTCTCTCAAGACAGCCACTTAAATTTTCCTCCTATTCTGTGCAGAGGTACCAAACTGTATCTACCAAGATTAATTGGTAGATAGTCAGCAGCTTTATGCATGCTTCTAAAACTTGTTCAGTGTTGGTTTTATTGGTCATTCAAATCTCAGGTTAAGCTTCCCCTTGTGCTTAGCTGTCCGTATGTTTTCCCTTGCTCTATCCTAGTGCTGTAGTTCAGTGGTTCTCAAACTTTTTTGTACCAGGACACTTTTGGAAACATTGATGGCCAGTCCCAAGCCAGAACCCCTCACTTTCGACCCACTGCCCCCAGCTCCCCAGTGTGTGGGTCAGGGGATGGGTGTTTGTGGGGCATGGGGGGCCCCAAGCAGCTCTTTGCAGGCTGGAATGCTGCCAGCCTGCAAGGGAAAAGCGACCATCATTTTTCTCCTTTAAAGGAGAATCCATTTTTAAAGTTTGTTGATCCATTTTTAAAGTTTCTTTGCAACCCTTTCACACATTCTTGTGACCCACTTCAGGGTTGTGACCCACAGGTTGAGAAATGTTGCTCTGGTTCACTCTCTTTAGAAAACCACTGCTGTTTGACAGGTGGAGTTAATGATCCACACCTACCACAATAAAACAGCACAACTTCATCAGCTTTCTGCAGTTTCACCTGCTAATCCAAGGCACCGTCATCTGCCAGCCTACCTGGCGGGAAGACGAGGAGGGGGAAGAGTCTCCCCCAGCACAGAGCAGAGCTACCCTCCCTGCCCCACAGGACAATCATCCTGGCATGGCCCCCATTAAGGTGAAGGGGGCAGGGAGAAAGGTTAATTACAACCTCCATCCATTCTGGTCCGTATTTCACTGCAGCCGGGGTCTGCCATTCCCAGAGGCCACCGCTGCAGGCCCCACCCCTCTGCTGCGTGGGTGACAGTGGGGGAGGAGGCAAAGGAGGGAAGAATTAATCCCCTCCCTGCCCACTTTGCCTTAATGGGGTCATGCTGTCCAGTGTCTCACCATGTCCTGTCCCTGCTCTGGCTAGAGAGCAGAAGGGTAGGGCCGACCCAGCTCTGAAGCAGAACAGAGCCCAGCCCAGAGACCATGCTGGGGTATTGGGGGGGATCTGAAGCAGACATTGCATAAACCAGTTTGAGACAAATCAGTTAAGTGTGATACTACATTCAGTCAGGTTTATCTCAAACCAGTTTCAGCCATTTTCAACCTGGTTTATATGCACCGAATGTCTTTCCTGTTACAGGTTCTCTTACAGTTTCTGATCATTTAAGTCCGTTTATGTGTAGTGTCTGTCCCTAACCTAGGACTGTTGCTGTTATCTCTCATTAGTACACAGCACTGAGAATATGCATTATCCAAATCATGCATAAATTTCAAGAGCTAGACTTTTGTTACATTTAGAAATAACAGATATATGGCAAAAATATGTTATCAAACAAATATCCGAGTGAATAATTTAACGGACTTGTGTTGACCTGATACATAAAAACTAATAGCTAGAGTTGCGGGAAGCTAAAAAATAATTAAAAAGTGACTGCTATCTCACTTACTATAGGCCAATTGTGATTTTTTTACATGTTAAATAATTGCTTTTGATGACACCTCAATCAGAATTTTGCCATTTGAGCATTTTGATTGAGATTCTACTGTGCTGCCTAAATTGAAAATATAACCTCTAGGGGGAAAATGACATCAAAAGCAATAATTAATTGTAAACAAATGAAAAAGCACCTCCAATTGTATTTATTCAATATTTTATCAAAAAGAGAAGATTTTAAACATGGCATAACCAGATTGTCCACCGGCTGTTGTGACACTGAAAATGCTTCATTTTGCCAAAAAAACAATGCCAGACTGCTCAACAACAGAACAATCCAAATACCTTAGCAAGTGTTAGATACTTTCTGATTTAAATAAGGTATAGCTCTAAGTTAATTTTCACTATAACATGAATAACTTTTAAAAGCTGTTGTTCAAGTAGAAGGATGCTGGTCACACAATTACAATTCTCCAGATGCTCATGCCACTGCTACTGGATCCTCATCTGGCCTGTGAGGCTCTTCACAGTTTGGATCCAACAAGCAAGAAGCTCACAGTTCGGATCCAGCGAGGGGGCCAGTCACATTTGACACCCCTGATTTAGATGAAACATGGCCAGATTATGAACTGATCAAGCAAGTCCCATCCCAAAGGTACTCTACATATACTACCAACTGAAAATCACAGCTATCACATGGGGGAAAGTGCAGGAAAGGGAGAAAGAGATTTATTGTAGATATCAGTGCAAGGCTTTCTTGAGTTCAGATCAGAGTTTAGAAAATACTCCCTTTGTTACTCTCTTTATTTCTCTCCCTTAGTCTCTTCATCTACAAAATGAGGTAACATTTTACTGGCAGAGGTAATGCTTGTGAAGTGCAGTGAAAATTAAAAGTGTTTATTATTATTATTAGTTATACTGATATTAATAGTGCTACATTTGAATAATGTACATTTATTTGCAGTAGTCTAAGAAATATTTAGAAAGATTTTTTTTTTCTTATTTTCATGTGTTCTCCCCTCCATTAAATGGAAGATCCAAGGTGGTACCACTAAGGTGTATAGATAAACTCTGATAAAACTATAGAACATTTATTTAGTTAAACAGTTGCTTTCAAGTAGTTCGGAGCCAAAGTACAATCTATTTTAAAGCTAACGTTATCTAGTTTGAAATGTCCCCTGGATTTTAAGGATCTAATTTTTCAGACCAGGAAATAATTGCTGGCACAATCAGATAGGTAAATGGTTAAATGGCTTAACTATGCCAGTGTCTACAATTATTTGTGCCTTTAAACTGTAATTGAAAAATGAAGGAGAGCGGAGTTCAAAATTCTAGTCCTAAATCACTCTTGTTCAAAAGCTAATTTAATGTTTTGCCATTAATTAATATTTCTATTGAGACAACGTAGTGATACTCATCCAACCAGTAGGGGGAACTTAGTTTAATTAACAACTGTATTATATAAACTATGGTATTATCTTTGATAATTATTTTAACACATGTTAAATCAATAAAGGGAGAACTTTACTTTTTTCATAAGAGGAATAAAATCAGCATTTGACAAATGGAAATGATTCGGGAAGACGCCTAATGTTCAGGTGGCTAGTTTAAACAGAAAAAAGTAAAATAACAAATGCAAACTGTGAAATGTACTTGACAATGTATCTTTATATAGTTTATAAATGCATTATAGAACGAATTTGTTTCTGAATGGGTTTCCCTGAAGGAAGAGTATTACAAAATAAAAAGAGTACTATAAATAATTTCAAACAAGGAATAGAAAAAAAATATTACTTACCCGTTTTGTATAGCAGCTGTTGGATCATAAGTCAAAGCCATGCCGGCCTGCACATAGTTAGGGGGGAAAAACAGAGGTTTACTCTGATTGTAGTAAAAATGGCATTAAACATTCTCTTTGAATGCCATACAACCTTTGCTCAATTTTGATTTATATTGATTTAAGACCACAAAACAAATTCAGATTGAGGAAAGACTAATTTGGATGATCTGGTTACCTTCATTGATGGAAATAGCCCTGGTCCATTGATTGGGTTAGCATTTTTGCTATTACCTCCCTATGCCATCTAGGTCAAATTGTGATCTTAGTTGCATTGGTACAAAACAATAACGTGACTGAGGTCATAGAATGACTCCAGTTTTATAGTGACATAACTGACAGCGTCAAATTCTGCTACCTGCAAGCCAGGCAGATAGTGGCAGATAGTTTATAAATATAATCAAACTAGTTATGGAAGAGTGAAGCTTTATCTTTATCTTTGTTTCAAATACCACACCTTGTCTGACCTGATCAGCCTATGATTTCTGTGTGCTGTCAGAAGCAGTTGTAGTTTGTTCATTAGTATGAGACAAGTAACATAGAATCTGGGCTGTGAAGCAAAAACAAACAACCAACAGAGAAAAAAATTAAAAAAATAAAAAAAAAGAAACCAAAACAAGCTCAAACTTTTACGTGGTGTTTTAAAAATATCTTTAATGGGATTGGATGGCTACAGAATTTGTTAATGGACTAAATACAGTCCTTCAACCACAGGTCACTGGAACATATCCAGAGGGTCATTACTACAGTAGCAGATGGTGACCTGTGTGAAATAATTTGGCAATGTGAAAGCAGCTTCTAAGTTAACAACTATCCATAGCACCATTACCAAAGATGTTGGCAAGCTCAGCAGAAAAGGCAGGAATCAAAAGGAGACAGAGCCTGATTTTTCCACCTTACTTTTAAAGAGGGCATCTTTAGTCAGGGATGAAGCAGGTTTCTGGTGCTATTTGGGAAGCAGAATCTCCTGCTCATGGTTGTCCTGCCATTTTAATCTTCTGGGCTCATAATCTGCAATCCATCAACACCACATTTATTTTGATTTTTTCTTTAAACAGATGAAATGCTTTGTGAAATATTTTTGGTTTTAAAGTACTAACAAATCCTTTTTTGATATGGAAGTAGGTGGAAGAGAGAAGAAAGGATAGATGTCCCTCTCAGGCCACAGGTGCCTAGGAGACCCTTAGATAGATACTGGGATGTGTAGGATATCTATTGAAAACTGGACACAGACTTGGTGATTTATTGACTATGCTTGTACATCCCACACTCTGGATGGGAATTGTGTATACTCCTAGTCCTATCTATGTGAATATTTAGATAGGCCACTATCTAACAATGGCCACTGATAATATATGAGCACCTGCTTCCTCTAAGATGGATTTCTTGTGGTCAGTAAAAGTGCATGGGCAAACCACTTGGTTTTGCTACTTTACAGGCAAGTAAATATTTATGTAAACATGAGGACACAGTTTGATTGGCAATATTTTAAAAATATTTTTTGAAATAGAAAATCTATTGTAGCCAATAGCCATGATGGTTCAAGAATTGTGTGAGGGGCAAGGATTTCTTAGGATAATATCTTTTACTGAATCAACTGCATAATTGGAATAGAGTTGGCAAGCTTTCAAAAGCAAGACCACCTTCTTCAGGTCTGAGGAGTAAAAACCCGCACAGATTAGTAAAAAAACAGTAGAAAAGTGGACAGAGAAAGTCCCAGGGGTAGAGCACACACAATTAGCAGAAGAAAAGAAATTGATTACTGGGAGATTAAGGCCTAGCAAAAGGGAGGGAAGTCATTATCTCCTTTCCTGTGTGGAAAGAATTCAGGAATCAGGTAGGTTATAATGACTGTCTACATGAGCATTGGACTGTACAGTTGTTATTGTGAAGTGATTTAGTACTTACATAAGCATTGCTACCGTGCAGTACTGTGCCAACACGGTTTTTTTCACATGCTACTGCACAGTAGCAACAAACAACTGCACAGTAGCTTGTTACTACTGTGCAGTAGCATCACATCACAGTAAGTGCCCACCGATGCTACCACCTGGTAGCAACAAGCTTGCTACTGTAGCTTGTTTCTACTGCACAGTAGCATCTTGTGTAAATGTGCCCAATGTGCCATAAAATGTATATCATTGGGTGTATCTACAGGTGCAATTAATGTGACTGAATATACCCTGGCTCAATCTGAGCCAGAGTAAACTAATCCCAACATCACCAGCATGGTTTTATTAGGGGCAGGTCATGTCAGACCAATCTGATTGCCTTTTACAATCAGGTCACAAAAGCATTGGATGCAGGTGTCGCCGTGGATGTAGTCTTTCTGGACTTCAGCAAGGCCTTTGACACTACCGACCACTCCATGCTCATTAAAAAACTAGGCGACTGTGGCATCGATGCCTACACAGTCAGATGGATTGCAAATTGGCTGAAGGGTCGTACTTAGAGGGTGATAGTGGATGGGTCATATTCGACCTGGGGGGAAGTGGGCAGCGGCGTCCCCCAGGGCTTGGTCCTTGGGCCCGCACTGTTCAATTGCTTTATCAGCGATTTGGATGATGGGGTGAAAAGCAACCTGTTCAAATTTGCTGGTGATACCAAAATTTGGGGTGAGGTGGGCATGTTAGCAGGGAGGGAAAGATTGCAGAAAGACCTGGATAGGTTGCAGGGGTAGGCTAACAAAAACAGGATGCCTTTCAATACTGACAAGTGGAGGGTGCTGCACTTGGGCAGTAGTAACCAGCAGCACACTTATAAGATGGGAAACTCCCTTCTTGAGAGCATGGAGGCAGAAAGGGATCTTGGAGTCATCATTGACTCCAAGATGAACATGGGCTGACAATGCGAGGTCATGGTCAGCAGGGCTAACCGGACCTTATCGTGAATCCACAGGTGCATCTCAAGTAGGGCCAAGGAGGTGATCCTCCCCCTCTACACGACACTGGTCAGGCCACAGCTGGAGTACTGTGTCCAGTTCTGGGCACCCCACTTCAAGAGGGATGTGAACAACATTGAGAGGGTCCAGAGGAGGGCCAGCCGCATGATCCAGGGACAGCAGGGCAGACCCTACAATGAGAGGCTACGGGACCTGAACCTGTTCAGCCTTCACAAGAGAAGGCTGAGGGGGGACCTGGTGACCATCTATAAACTCACTATGGGGGACCAGAAGGGTTTGGGGGAGACCTTGTTTCCCCTAGCGCCCCCCAGGATAACAAGGAATAACAGCCACAAGTTGTTGGAGAGTAGGTTTAGATTAGACATCTGTAAGAACTACTTCACAATTAGGGCGGCTAGGATCTGGAACCAACTTCCAAGGGAAGTGGTGCTGGCTCCTGCCCTGGGGGTCTTTAAGAAGCGGCTTGATGCCTACCTGGCTGGGGTCATTTGAGCCCAGTTTTCTTCCTGCCCAGGCAGGGGGTCGGACTTGAAGATCTACAAGGTCCTTCTGACCCTACTTCTATGATTCTATGATCACCGTCTACACATGCTTTTAAGCACAGTAATTTACTGTGTTGCCAGATACCACTTGTATTTGATGGGACTATCTAGCAGCACAACAAATTAGTCTACTGCTCCATAATTGCTGTGCACATGTGGATGGTAATGCTTTACAGTGCAGCAAATTAGTCTGCTGTGCTGTAAAGCATCTGATATAGATGTGCCCATTAAGTCCTTTGTTTTTAGTATCTAGGGTTGCTTGTACACACCACGGGGTTTTAATTCATTTAGTTCTCCCTAAATTGAAACAGTAGGTTTTTAAAAACACTACTTCAATTTAAACCAAACTAAACCCCTGTGGTGTGTATGCAAGGGTGGAGGCCCTATCCTTACCTGCCTCTCCAGTAGTGGGGGTGGGGGAGGGTGATCTGCCAGCGGGCCGAGCAGTCCCTAGGCTGTGGGGAGGCTGGTGCTTCCCTCTGTGGCAGTGTTGGCAGCCCCCAGGCGACACCCACTTGCTGGCACCCAGCTTGGGTGGTGCCAGGAGGCACCACAGCCACAGAGGGAAGCACCGGGCCCCATGCAGCTCAGGGGCTATGCAACCTGCCAGCAGCCTGTGTAGGCTTTGGGGAGGAGAAAAAAAAAAGATCAGGCTTGCTACTTTTTTTTTTTTCTCCTCCCCAAAGCCTACACAGGCTGCTGGCAGGTTGCATAGCCCCTGAGCTGCATGGGGCCCGGTGCTTCCCTCCATGGCTGTTGCACTGTACTAGGGTAGCAAACTAAAACACCTCAGAGGTGTTTTACCTTGCTATATACCAAAGTTATTTAAAGTGCAATGCGCCACTGACAGTGTAAACAGCAACACCATTAAAGCACAACAAGCCACTGACAGTGTAAATAGCAATGTCATTCAAGTGGTGCAAAAGAGCATTTAAGATGCTTTGAAGGCCAATGTTGTGGCATGTACAAAGGCCCCATTAAGCTTATGTGTTTTTGTTCCCAAGTTTGCCTTTTAAAGGTATTAAGTAGATTTCCCTTGAGTACAAGGACTGAAAGGTCAGAGAAGGAGTGGTTGTTCTGTGAGAAATCTGCTTCTAATGGTGTATGTGTGGCTGTCCTTTTTGGGTTTTTTCTGTAGGAGTTCATTCTGGTACATAATTGTTGCTTAGTTTCACCCATGTAGTTGCCATGCAGGTATTTGGTGCACTGGATCAGGTGCCATTTTGGGAAGGGCATTTGTAGAAACTAGGAATTGTGGTGGTTTTATTATGAAGGGAGAGGGGGTCTTGATTGTAGAAGCAGTGGGGATGTATTGGCAGGTTAAGCATTTCTTGCTGAGGCAAGGCTGTATCCCACTTGATGTTGGTTGGGCAATGAGGAATTGGTTGGGCAAGGTTGGAGGTTGTTTGAAAACCAGGAATGGCAGGTCTGGGAATATTTCTTACAAGGTCTGGGCTTTGTTGAGTAAAATTCCTGAAAGGGGAGGAAATGAAGTAATGTGACAGTTTCTTTTGGAAAAGAAATAGAACGAAGTCAAGTGTGGTGCAGGAGTTAAGGATATTTGAAGCAGTCTCAGTAGAGACATATTAGTAAATGGCATGCATAACACCATAGTTACAAGCATTTTTCATCTGGACATGTGAACAGACCTTTATGAGCTAGAAACTCAGCTACTGTAAATGATATAACTCCATGGATCTATATATGTAGGTGCATAGATAACATATTACATGCATACATTTCCAGATGTGCCGTTTCCATACGTGTCACCATCACATTCCTTCGATATTACGTGTGGTAAGGATAGGGAATACTCTGGACATAATGGGCTTATTAAGGCAAAAATGTCAAAGACTGGATTCTGATCTCTTTACTCTACCCTAAACTCCACTTGCTTTATTTGTGGGGAAAGAGCATCAGAATCTGAACCAAAGGTTTTGATTCTCAAGACTGTACATTTCTCTAATTATGTTTGCAACCAGTGAAAGTTTTATACTATACAGACAAATCAGACATCCATATGGCAGTAATACATGTGATGCCTCATCTACTTTTTCCCATCAATATCTTCAACATCCCTCTGTAATTTCATAACTCTGGACAGCT